TAAAAATAATATTTGAAGAGTTGAGATGCAAAAACCTCTAAGTGCTGTCTGAAAATTTTCTTTAAAATTTGCATTTTTCTCAGCCTTTTTTTTTCTGTTTTTTCACTTTAAAGGCAATGAAAATAACCTATTCTTTGCACCAAGGCTAAATTTACTGAAATTACACACAACAGCCTGAGAAAAAAAATGCTAATTTTAATTAAAAATTTCAAATGGCACTTAGAGGATTTTGCATCTAAACTCTTCATTTTGACTCAAACGGACCAAGTCCCAGACCCAATGCACAAAAAATGCACTGAAATTCAAGCCTTGCTTTATATGGGTTGCCAAAGACACGTCACAGAACGATTTACAGTAAGCCTCAATGAGGTCTCTGTGGAAACCCGTCTCATACCTTTAAAAGTGCAGCTTAATTGTTACAGTAAATCACACGGCGTCTCACATTTGCATGAACGCTTCACAGAAGGATGCCTATAGGAACTACAGGCAAAGTGAAAGAACATTATTTGTGTCACATTTATCATGAATATTTTTATTAAAATATTTGTAGAATTATGTACCGCTGAAGCTTTAAAGCATTGCACTTCCCTAAGACCACAGACTGCGAAAGAGCTCGAAGTATATCAAACACTGACTCTACAAAATGTAGGCTAATCATTGATGAAAAATGCCCTTTATACATTTTAACACCCGACTGACTAATAAATAATCATAGTCACTCTCCAGAGTCGTCTATAACTTTATATAATAATGACTAGTCCCTAGGCCGGATACGTAGAGGCCTACGCTATAATACAGTTTTAACGTGTTTTGCATAGCAGACTGGAGAGAGTTGGGCAAAGATGTGGAGATACAGAAGCTGAACGACTGTGCAGGGAAACTTGACCTCATTCTCTTAATGGAGTGCTGTGAAGCAGACAGCCCGCTCTCAGCTACATCATTATATTTTGACTCAAACGGACCAAGTCCCAGACCCAATCCACAGAAAAGAATAGAAGAAAAATAGCTTGGAATATGCTGGTCAAATACTACTCCTCACCTGCATGTCTGAATCAAACACTGCTCCCAGAGTATTTTTTTAAAGCACAAAGATGTTTTGCAGGTACATATAGTAGGAAACGTTTACGAATTGCACATAGAGTACAGTGGATTCCAAAAGTTCGAAAGCACTGGTAAAAATGCTTGTGCTTTTTTGTCATTACTGTAATAAAAGCCTGTCACAATAATCAATATATTGATTTATCTTGCAATACTTGGAGACAACCTCAATAATTTTTGTCTATATATTTACAAATTCATATTTTAACATTGGAGCCATTTTACACCGGTCTACCTCACCTGTGTCAGAGTTAATATTTGTACATTTACCTATTAAGAATTACTATGGAGAGTTAATAGTATATAATAGGACTAGGGCTGCACAATATATTGTTTGAGCATTGATATTGGAATCTGCAATAGTCACATTGATTCGCAAGATATACAATGTTGAGTTATGAATGTAGATAAATCCACAGGTCAAAACTTATGATATTCGTGGAGACTGCAGAATTTAACCATTATAAAGTGAAAGTTTTTCATGTGATTTTAAGGCCAGTGTGATCATTTTAAGAGTTTAAAGCATCTTAAGAGAACATGAAGAGCATAAAAATGCATTTTATTGAATTATTTATGTGATGAAGACTCTACATTGCTCTTTTTATTTGATTATTAACTTTCTGTACCCGAATGCTGTTAGATACTCCTTGGTAAACCATAAAGCAATGTTTATTTTACTTAAATATTTGTTCCATCGTGGTTGTTTATGACTGTAGTTTGTTTAATTATATGTATATACTAAATTACATAGAATATATTGATATTTCAGTTCGATAAAAATCATCCCAATCAATCTAAAGTAATGACTTTCGAAATAGAGCTATTTAAGTCATCTAGTGAAATTGTATGGCAATATATATTGCAGGGAGAAAAAAAAATATTGCAATGTCAAATTTTTCCAGTATCATGCAATCCTAAATAGAAAAAACTAAATAAAATAAACTTTTTAACAATAAAATATAGAATCTAAATTACATTAATTATGATAAGTATTTCAAAGTGTTTATGGCTATTTGCATTATTATGCTGTTAAATAATCATTATATAATCAGTGGAATAAAATTACTTCAAAATGACAATATTATCACTTTTAGCAACAATTTTTGTGACAATTTATCACACACCTGTTCGTGACAGTCATGGTGTCTCACAGCACGACTATTGTAGAACAAAATTCATTCATTCATTAATTTTCTTGTCGGCTTAGTGCCTTTTTAATCTGGGGTTGCCACAGCGGAATGAACCGCCAACTTATCCAGCACGTTTTTGCGCAGCGGATGCCCTTCCGGCCGTAACCCATCTCTGGCAAACATATACACAAACTCATTCACACTCATATACGGACAATTTAGCCCACCCAATTCACCTGTACCACATGTCTTTGGACTGTGGGGGAAACCGAAGCACCCAGAGGAAACCCACGCGAACGCAGGGAGAACATGCAAACTCCACACAGAAACATCAACTGACTCAGCCTAGGCTCGAACCAGCGACCTTCTTGCTATGAGGCAACAGCACTACCTACTGCGCCACTGCGTCACCTGTAGAACAAATAATTATATATTTTTGGTATATATTTGTAGCATATTTAGTCAAACAATAAATGTCTAGTCTCTGTGCCATGCAGCAGTGCTTTATCATCAGCCCAGTCAGAGGATTCAGCCCCAGTCTGCAAAATCGTCGATTTATTTGTACTCAAATATTTGAGGTAGTTTTGTCATTTAAAATAATTATGTAATTATGAGGTAAACCTTGATGTTGGTAAGTTCTTTTTTAAACCAGTTTTATTGTGAATTTTTTTACATTATTTATGCAATTTAATACCATAATTAATACTGTATACTGTTATAAAATCTTCATCAATTAATTAAATCCTGGAAATAAGATACGGGGCATTCCTACACTGAATACAAAGCTGAATTTCCATGGCCTATAATGAAAGAATTAATCTATTTGGAGCAATATTTTTAACAACAAACAAAAATACCTGATATTCAATATATTCAATACAACAATTGCTCTAATAGACATTCAAATGATCAGTTAATATATATATATATATATATATATATATATATATATATATATATATATATATATATATATATATATATATATATATATATATATATTTTTTTTTTTTTTTTTTTTTTTTTCATTACAAATGATTCATATAATACAGTAAAATGTGATGGTCTTGGTTTGAGAATTGCACACAGAAATTCATAATGATGTTTTAATTAGACCTACAAAACTGCAGAATACACTTTTCTGTTTGTTTTATGATAGGAATCAAAACATACAGCTTTAATTTACACTTTAAAGTAGATTACACAAATCACAAAATTTCAAAGTTTTAATCTTTGCTGTCCAATGTATAGATTTAAATATTAAATGTTGATTAAATGAAATGCATTACAGTACAGAGATAGAGTAGTGGCCACAATTGATTTTTATTTAGCATATTGATGTTATGTTGATGTATATTTTCTAAACATATTTTGCTTGTGTTTTAATTGTTTCATTTATTATAACACAAGAAAATTTGTTTATCGAGGAATGCACAGGAGAATGGCTACTAATGAAATGGGGGAGAGCCAATTAAATATTAATAACTGATTATCATGTAGTCAGTGTATACTTTTCTTCCTGTGAGCTGTTTGTTTTTCTCTGCTTTTAGCATATTAAAATAAAGCCATATTGATGAGATGACAACATGTCCCTCATATCCTAACTTGCAAGGACATTAAAAGCACATATTTTCCAAAGGACATTGCTTTTGGTCCCCACTGTATATCACTCTATGGTCACATATTATAAACTAAACTCTGACAACAGCTTCTCAATGGTGAATTATTGCACTATATTAAACATTATATCACAGCAAACGAGAAGCTTGCAGCAGTAAATAGTGTCTAATGTGACACGTAAATTGAGCGTGTGCATTTCAGATGCGGTTTCCTTTGATCAATGTGGTGAACGCTAAACATGAGACACTACAGATCCTCCATTAGAAATGTTTAGCCTACAATGACTAGGATTACGTTCCCTTATGTTTCCATTCCTCTATTTCAAGCAACATATTCTGCAACAAATATCCATTCGTAGAAGAAGAAAAAAATCAAAGCACAGCAAAAGAAACAAACATTTTAAAACCCTTTTTTTATTCCAAACTAATCTTGCATATGTCTGCAGTAACTCAATAGAGAATATATGAATGTGAATTAAAAAGCTTGGCACATACACTGTTCTCCGAATAAAAGCAAAACCAAGCAGATAAATCACAACAACAGTAAATAAACTCGCCCCCAAAACAGTCACCGCCACCAAAAATAAAAAGAAATCCTATTTATGCATCCTCTGAAAAAAATAAAGAATTAAAATACAGATGTATGTGCTTTGACATGCATGTATTTCATATATAGACAATTTGTTTTTTCAAAAGCACTCCCTAATCCATAAGGCATTAGGATTTTTTCGACGCACACCAATTTGCACTTCAAACCAGTGGGCCCCTCTTCATCCACCGTAGCGTTTGTTCACAGGCCCAGCAACACCCTGTGGATCCGCACACCAATATGAGTGACTTTAACAAAGCCATCTACGATTCGGCACAGGCCCAGAGGAAGCGTCTAGCCGTTTGCTTCGGCGTTTGCTCATACGCTTCAGGAAATTATGTTATTTTCTCGGAGTCTCCCACCGTGCCCCTTAGGCTCCGAACGTAACCGGTCGATCCATTAATATTGTCAGCTCAACTAGTCATTGGATACCCATTGTTAACTCTAACAAATTACATCCTTGCCCTTGAGGTGACCTTCCTTTGACTCCCTCATGAGTATTTTTCCAGTTTTAGGTCAGCATCATTTAGCCCAATGTAAGGTTATCAACACAGCTGGACTTACCGTTCTCCTGATCTGATTTGTTGTCCTGCTCTGTGTCTGTGAGTGTTAAAGCGGAGTTGGATCGGCTTGACAGACGCGAGTCCCGACCGTGTGATTTAACCCATAGCATGGCGCAGTCAGGCGAAATGCCTCCTACGTTTTGGATGTGGTCTGCTCCGCTGAGCTGCGTATGATGACCGAGTCCGGTTTCCGCACAGAAGCTCAGACCGCGGCGAGGAGCAGGGCCGCATATCCCAAGCTGCCTCAGTGACAGACTCTGGCCTGCAAGATTCAAAGCGCATGCTTAATACAGAGAGCATAAGAAGCAGTACACAAAATAACTTGTGGAAAATACATTCATATGCTGTTGAATTATTTAATGCTGCTTTCCGACTCTTGCTGTACATACACACTTATGGAAAAAATATTTGCTATTAAAGATGCTGCAACAGCAGGTTTTTAAGTTCGCGTTTGAAAACTTGCATGACAGATTTATTATTTAATTAACTTATTTTGAAGATTAAATTTGTACATAGGTGTTTTTGTAAATTGTATTCTGTGCAGAAATACAGATAATTTAGCAAAATAAAGAGTAAAGAAGAAGACTTGATGCGTGTGCTGTTCTAAAATACAGGAATTCTGGGTTAAAGTGCACAGTTACATTCAGGATGTTTCTGGATGCTGCTTTTCATTTTGAACTGAAATACAGTTGAAGTCAAAATTATTGCACCCCCCTAACCCCCCCCCCCCCAACACCCCCCCCTTCCCCCCCACCCCCGAATTATTAGAACATATCATATGTTATTAAAACATATCAGTTTTAATAACTCATTCCTAAAAACTGGTTAGTTTATCTTTGCCATGATGACAGTACATAATATTTTACTATAGATTTTTTCAAGACACTTCTCTACAGCTTAAAGTGACACTTAAAGGCTTAACTTGGTTAATTAGGTTAACTAGGCAGGTTAGAGTAATTAGACAAGTTATTGTATAATGATGGCTTGTTCTGTAGACTATTAAAAAAATCTAGCTTAAAATAGGTTAATAACTTTGACCTTAAAATAGTTTTAAAAAATTAAAAACTGCTGTTATTCTACCCAAAATAATGCGAATAAGACTTTCTCCAGAAGAAAAAAATATCAGACACACTGTAAAATTTTCTTGCTCTGTTAAACATCATTTAGGAAGTATTTAAAAAAGAAAGAAAAATATAAAGGGGGGCTAATAATTCTGATTTCAACTTTATATGCACTGGAATACTTGATTGTGTTAGAGTCTGGTGTGAAGATGACCGAGTGGATTCAAATAATTATTATGAGTGGAAGTAAAATCATTATGAGGGGATGGCACTCAGCAGGTCCACCTTCATTTCAAGGACAGGTTACGGAATCAGGTAAGTAGCAGCATATGAAAAAATTACATATAGATTACTTGATAAATTGAAATTTATCGGGTATAAAGGGGAAATTATTTGGCACTATTATTATTATTTGTATTTTATTTATTGAGTTCATATTATTCATCAGTATTTGCTGGATTTATGATAACAACATCTAATTACTGTAACTGTTGCTGTTGGGAAGGGGAGGTGGAAAGGGGACATTAAAAATGTGTAAACTGATGCTACTGTTAAATTGTTGAAGAAATTGTAAAAAATAAAAAAATAAAAAATGTAATCATAAAAAAAGAAATAATTTAGCAAAATAAAGAGTGACGAAGGAGACATGATGCATGCCATGTACTCATGTTCTAAAATACAGGAATTCTGGGCTAAAGTACACAGTTACATTCAGGATGTTTCTGGATGCTGCTTTTCATTTTGTCCGGGAATATATGTATCGGGAGACCCGTTCATGTTGAGGTCTATTGTGAAGATGTCTGAGTGGATTCAAATAAATATTATGATTGGAAAACAAATCATTATGAGAGGATGGCGTTCAGCAGGTCCACCATCATTTCAAGAATGGGTTATGGAATTGGGGAAGGTGACGGCATATGAAAAAAAATCACATATAGATTACTTGATAAATTGAATGTTTATCAGAGAAGATGGGGAAATGATTTGGCATTTTTGCAAGCTGAATAAGGTCACTGTGGTGTGATGCACAGTAAAAGTGTAATAATCTTATTTTGTATGTATTATTATTGTTGTTTTACTATTCTTATTATTTATATGTGTGGTTTTTTTTTATGGAGTTATTATTTATTTGCATTTACTGGACTTATAATAGCAACATCTAATTACTGTAACTGCTGCTGTTGGGGAGGGGAGAGGAAAGGGGACGTTTAAAATGTGTAAACTGATGGAACTGTTAAATTATTGAAGAACATTTTTTAAAATGTTGAGTCATAAAAAAAGAAATAATTTAGTAAAATAAAGAGTGAAGAACGAGACTTGATGCATGTGCTGTTCTAAGATACAGTAATTTCTTGCTAAAGTGCACAGTTACATTCAGGATGTTTCTAGATGCTGCTTTTCATTTTGTCCTTGAATATATGTACCAGGAGACTCGTTCTTGTTGGGGTCTGGTGTGAAGATTCAAATAAGTATTATGATTGGAAGACAAATCATTATGAGGGGATGGCGTTCAGCAGGTCCACCATCATTTCAAGAATGGGTTATGGAATTGGGGAAGGTGGCGGCATATGAAAAAAATCACATATAGATAACTTGAGAAATTGGATGTTTATCAGAGAAGATGGGGAAATTATTTGGCATTTTTGGAGGATGAGTAAGGTCACTTTGGTCAGATGCACAGTAAAACTGTAATAATCTTATTTTATTTATTTTTGTATTATTATTGTTGTTGTTTTACTATTATTTTTTTTTTGTATGAGTGCTTCTTTATTTATTGAGTTTATATTATTTATTTGTATTTACTGGATTTATGATAGCAACATCCAATTACTGTAACTGCTGCTGTTGAGGTTGGGAGGGTAAATATGGAATAAAGTGTGTAAACTGATGGTGCTGTTAAATTATTGAAGAAAATAAAAAATGTTGAATCATAAAAAAGAGATGATTTAGCAAAATACAAGCAGAAGTGAGCAAATATTTTAAAGAAAAAACATAACACTTCACAAAAAAATGCTTTATTAGTTATATTTAGTCCACTATATATATATATATATATATATATATATATATATATATATATATATATATATATATATATATATATATATATATATATATATATTACTTTGTTAGATTACTTACTGTAGTTAATGTTAAATTGCACATTACATGTTAATAAACACTTTTTCATCGTAAAAAAATCTATGTATTTTTGTGGTTACGATTTCAAACAAATATTAATTTTGATCATTTAGATTAACACTAGACTCAATTCAAAATATTATTTAAGCTTATTGATATATATTTACTTAGAATAAAAATCAGAGTAAACTAATAAACAGTAACATTCATACAGTTTTGGCAAAAAAAAAATGCAACCTATTTTATTCATTACCTAATTATAGGCACATTTAAAAATAAACATTATGTTTTTGAATCAGAGTAAAAAAAAAAAAAACTACAAAAAACTATATATATATATAGGATAAGTGGTCTGGAATCTGCATGTCACATATGTCACCTTACAACTTACTTTCTGCCTTACCTTCGTCTTCATTTTTTATTTTATTTTTATTTTTATTTTTTTTTTGTTAGCAGGTGAATTTCTTTTTATGTGAAACTGAATTTCAGCTCTACCTCCTCCTCCAACATATATTTGAGGATTTACTACAGGCTACCAAATAGAAAGCGTTACACTTCAGATTGAAATTCACCTTGAGATTCTCACCACTCTACTTCCTTCAGCTCCGCTTTTAAAACCATATTCTTGTACCTGCTAGCATATGCTGAGTGCTTTATGGCTAAAAGCCCACAGAGTTGGTGACACATGAAAACGAACACAGCTGAATTTAAATTATGGCTACACTCATAGACACAAAACAAAATAACTCAACACAAGTGCTGACATTAATTACCACATGAGGGCATTATCTGAAATACACATTTTGAAATACTGCAAACTGAGGTAACCAATGCAGGCCAACGTGCCATGATTTATCCAGGCAGTGATTAAAATAAAATGATGGAACATTTGTATCATGAATGCATGGAAGATTTCTTTCCTTCGGCTTTGTGCATAAACACGACTGCTAATTAAGGACGTCCCCCTAAGTGTAACAGCCTAAGGTTATGGAGCGCACTATAAAGCACAATTAAGCAAGTAAGTGTATTTCTAATGAAATTAAATTTCAATGAGCAGCATCCTACCCTTCCACTTAAAATGTGTCTAATCATAATACACCATCAAATATTTATAGAATAGTTTGAACAGTTTGTGAATAATCAGCAAATGAGTGTCTGCTGGGCTGTGTTAAATAATAAAAAAAGAAGATAAAGCCATATGTGAAACCTGAATACAACTGTGAAAAAAAAACTCCTCAACGACAGGCTGAAATAATATATATAGATCTTAGTAAATTCATGCAATTTTCATTGAGGGCTTCTACAGTGCTCAGCACATATACTGTAAGTACACGGCTCAGAAATCTCTCTTTTAAATTCATATTTTAATAAGAAGCTATACAATATTATATGTGTGCATATACATTAGATAAGTCAGTACTGAAGCCAAATCTGGAGCTTATCTACCAAAATAACTTACAATAACAATCCAAAAACTAGCACACCTAAATTTATATGTTATAGGAAAATATTGAATACACATTTTAAAAAGAGGAAAAATCAAGAGAAGCAAAAACATTGAAAGATTTAGTTGATATTTTGTAGGTTGTAATTTATTTGCAATATTTTGCTTGAATTTAAATGTATTGTCTTTCAATTTCTAAAAATGTTTGGTGACTAAAATATTATTTTATTAAATATATCTGTTTAACAAATCTGTTTTGCTTAAATGCACCAGAATATATTGCCTATATTCACTGAGAGATAGATCTAAATATTCATTTTCAAAATAGGGTGTACTTATATATGCTGAGCACTATATATACATTCACTATATATATATATATATATATATATATATATATATATATATATATATATATATATATATATACTGTACATATATATAATTTCCACAAATATTACAACTTTTGTGGCTCTGTTAATCCATAGAGTATGTAAAATGTATTCAAGAAAAAAAGTAGGTGTTGGATTAAAGTGCAGCACTGCAGTTTAACTGCTGCTTGCAACCAGTACAATCAGACATGTATTGATTTGAAAAAAGGTATTTATTGAACGGTAAATGGGCTGCAATGTAGTTCCTTTTCAAGGAAATTATCTCCACTTGTTATATACTGTACAGCTGTATTTTGTAAAATGTAGGAAATACTAAATGTTTCAAAATCATATGCTTATATTTCAAGGATTGAAGTTCTATAAATCTGGCAAAGTTATAGCAGTTTTTATAGCACAGTTATTATATACTGTATTTAATTATGTTATTAATTTTAATAAAATAAAATAAATAAATAAATAAAATAGAATAAATAAAATAAAATAATTAATTAATTAATAATCAATAAATAATAAAATAAAATATTAATTAAATTAATAAATTCTTTAAATTTATAAAAATAATGAGACAAAATAAATATAAAATAATAAAGTAACATTAAATTAAATAAATGTTAACACACACACACACACACACACACACACATTGTATTATATAAATTACTATGTTCACATTATATTATATATTTGTATTATTATTTATAACATTTTATAATATGAATTTTATATAACTGGCAAGGAATTATTTCTACTTTTCATTAAAATAACGTTAACTTTAATTTATTTGACCTAAAATTTACTTGAAAATGCGTTTTTAAGGACATGGGATTTATTTTCTGGATAAGATTGAATTAAATCAGAAGCTTTAGCTCCTGTTTGGGTTAAAGCTCAAGGTAAAGTCAGGTCACATTACTAATTTAATGATGTACTACAGTATTGCCACACTGTGCACTGTACTGTGCGTTAGGACTTAATTTAGAAAAAAATCCTCACAACATTGTGCATACTGAAACATATGCCACTAAATTGCTAAATACATAAGTTTTTTTTTCTTCGTTGAGTATTATATCTAGAAAACAAAGTGTATACTTCTTGCTTTTTTGTTTTGTTTTTTCAGCATTTTCAAACATCTGCTTATCTTTCCATTTGCATATGGTGAATGTTTAAGGGCTCTTACCTGGAGCTCTGTATTCCTCCGCATCCCTTGGTACCATGTCTGGCATGCGATGCCCATAAAGCCCCTGGGTGGACGGGTGTTGATCAAAGGCCTTCAGCGTCTCACTAGAGCTGTATGACTTCTGGGTGAGCACAGAGGATGAGCCGGTCTGACGGCGGCTGCCGGGACCCTCCCTAAAACCCTCCCCTTCGTCTCGGTCTCCTTCCCTCTCCCAGTCTCTCCCTCGTTCTCTTCTGCCCCGAGAGAGAGAGCAGTACGGCCGACGCTCCTTCACCTCCATGCTGCGTTCATGCTGTGATCCTCCACTCCTGCGCTTCTCTCCTGCTTCTGTCTGTTCTCGTTTGCTCTTTTCCAGTTGTCGTTCTGTGTCTTTCCCCTCTCTTACGCTCCCCCTGCTCAGAGAGACAAAGAGACACTGGCTTAGTGAGAGAATGAAACAGGTAAAGAGAAAATAAAAAGGAGAAGGACAAGTAGGCTATTGAAAAAGGCTCGGGTGAGATGTCGCTCTTAGTTAGTTCATCAAGCACATTGTTCGTTGAATAATTAGTCACGACAAAGAAAGAGAGTGTGCAGAGGCCGATGACTAGTAGTTTTCTGGTAATAGTGTTAATTCATATCACTAATCTGTCAAGCATTTTAAATAAATTGTTTCTTTAACACATGATCTTGCAATTTGTTTTATTTTTTATGGATTATTATGTCAATTTAATCAACATACTGCATATGTGTTTGAAACATGAGCAAACTGGAGTAAAATATAAATGCATTTTAAGGGGGAATTAATATAAAAAATTCAAATATAATAAAATAAAAATATTTTTTTTTTAAATAATACAATATTGGATTTATATGTAATAACAGTTATTTTTAACAGAAAACAAAGCGATGATTAAAATGAATATCAAATTACAGTTATACAATATAAAAAATATATAAAAACTTTTTTTTTAATTTAGTAACTTAAAATTACTTAACAGAACTAATAAAATCTATAAATATATGGCTAAAATGAAAATAAAAACAGAAAATACACTTGTATAAATAATTAAAACAAATAAATAAAAACATAAATAAATTAATACAACAATAAATAAATAAATGAAACAAATAAATGAATAAAACAAATACATAAATGCGTAAATAAAATAATTAAAACAAACAAGTAAGTAAATAAATGCATAAATAAAAATAAATAAAACAAAAATAATCAAATAAATAAATAAATAAACAAATACATAAGTAAATTAATTAATTAATTAAAACTAACAAATGAATAAGTAAATAAAAAGAAATAAAAACAAATAAATAAAACAAAAATTAATAAATAAATAAAAATAAATAAAAATAAATGCATAAATAAATAAATAAATCAACAAATCAAACATATAAATATATAGATCAATCAATCAATCCATCAATAAAACTTAATTCAGACTCTTAATAAAAACTACTTGTTACCCAAAGAAACTAAAATCTCATTTTATGTTTGTTAGTTTTTTTTATCCAAAATAAAACTAGACCCCACTGAAACACTTCAATGTATTCTTTTATGTTCCAAGTCAAGATTAGAGAATCACGACTAAATGAGTGTTCATGTTTACCCCTTTAATACAACCACTTTAAAACACAAAAACACAATTCAACTCAGTTCTCCAAAGAAAGAAAACTCTATGTTTTCCAGCAAAGACAAAGTCAAACGAAACCCTAAAAATGCTCGCTTTCATTGAACTGGCTTTGTCATGACAGATCCACAAACACACACACACACACACACACAGGCACACTTGTAAGCCTTTAGTAGGTTTCCTGGGAGGTTGGTGCCAAACCCTGTTCGACAAAGCTCTGGAGAATTGGTTTTGTTTCTCTGGTGTGCGAGTTAAAGGATATTCCAATGCTTCTTCTCTAGTGTCGTCTATCTTATCTAGCAAACAGTCTTCATGCTGAACACATTTGCCTAGACCACACTGTCAGTTTAAAGCAATATAAAGAGGACAAGAGAAACAATGAGGATAATAAAACACTGTAAGAAGAAACAGAGGCGACTAGGTCAGCATTACTGCATACTGTATAGCCACACTAATGGGATACGAATGCGATCAAATGAATGGTGCCCCGGTATCAAAACACTCCAGTCAGAAAGAGAGAGTGAGGTAAAGTTTATCGGACAGTATTTCAGCGAGATCAATTAAACGTACTTCTCTTTACAGCGCTGGTCATTTCATTCTCTTGTGCGAGTGCAATGTTGTGCAAAGGCGCAGTGGGCCGACTAACACACCAGCAGAAACCCTCAATCCTTCATTGCATTGGACAGCACCCACTGAGTTATCCTCGGGAAACACGGCCCCTGTATTCGGATCAATTTAGATTAGCCAGGGGCAGGGGAGGCTCAGACATACTGGTCTAGTCCTAAATGTCCTTAAAACTGGACCCTGAGTCTATAAGATTATCATCCGTTGAATTTCCAAGAAGAAGAAAAAAGAATGATGGTTGATTATGAAGCAGTCAGATGTACTGACATAAGGAATAAAAAAATATTTCATTCATCAAGAACTTAGTTAACCATTCAAACAAGAGATGGTATTTTGCTGATACGCTCGTGGATGTTAAAAATTCTTCATGGAACCAAAGGTTAAATAAATAATGACTTTTTTCTTTTAATCTTTTACCTTTATTGTTTTTTTGTTTGTTTTTTTACTTTGGACTGAGAATAAAGTAAATAACTATCAGTATATAGACATTTATGAAAAATTCTTCCCTCGTCAAAGCTTGATTAAACATTTTAACCAAGTTTTAGCAAATATAGACTGGAAAACACCCATTTAGAAAAGTTTAGAGAGAATGAAAGCCTGGAATACAATTTTTCATTATAAAAGTATTGAATTATTTTTATATTGAAGTATTTTTTTTCTTTTTTTCAAATCTCTTGGTTACAAAATTAAGCGAATAACGCTTAACAAAACACTGTTTATCTCTTTTGTCTGATAAATTCTATAGGATTGTCATATGTTGAATTTCCAAGCAAAAAAAGACTGGAAAACAGGGAAAGATGAGACACTTATTCCACAAGACGACACATGGGATAAGTTCAAGAGAATGAGACGAAACAAGATTTTGACACAATTTTTAAGAAATCTTCAATGATGAAACACATAAACGGAAAATAACCTTTTATTCATATGGAAAAAAACACAAAATGCAAAACTATGTAGGTGCTTTTTCATCAACTTTTAATGAATGCTTTTTTGCTTTTATTTGAATTAATTCTATGCTGTAAAGGACATGCAAACACTGCCAAATAGTTTGCTAATATATAAATGGAAAATAGTGTTTATATATTTAAATATTTAAATAATAATTTATGAATAAAAAATACATTTTTATTTGATTGAAAAAAATTCACAAAATGCAAAACAATTTATGTGCTTTTTTAAATCAGCTTGTAATGAATGTTATTTTACATTTACAACACTTGACTATAAACTCTACTGACTGGCTTCTCCCATGTACATTTTGTCATGAGAAACCGAACTCATTCATTCATTCATTTTCTTTTCAGCTTAGTACCTTTATTAATCAGGGGTCGCCACAGTGGAATGAAGCACCAATTTATCCAGCATATGTTTTATGCAGTGGATGCCCTCACAGCTGCAACCCAACACTGGGAAACACAGATACACTCTTGCATTTGCATACATACACCACAGCCAATTTAGGAGGAGTTTACAAGAGTTTTCCGGAAGAAATAACAAAACAACAACAAAATCTCTGTTCTTTCTCTTTAACATAATTGTTAAAGCTCTTGACTCAGAATTTAAGTGTATAAAATGTAACAAAATACTGTTAAAAATGTAAGATTAATACCTAACACCCTAATACCTAACACCCTATTAATACCTAACACCCTATTTTGTGTCAAAACATTCTTCATTCATCAAAAGCTTGCTTAAACCTTTTAACCGAGAAATGTCGGTGGTTTGAGTTTTAGCAAATAGAGTCTTAGTCATTTAGAAAAGTTTATAAGGGAGAGAAGCGGGGATATAAATCACGGTGGAGCTCTGGCGGTTGTATCATGCTCAGGTGGGCACTGACCCATGGGGCCATTGAAAAGCAAAGACTCAGCAGTGAACAGAGGGGCCAGTGGGAACTATATTGTAGCAAGAAGCGACCAGGCAAAAAGATGTCACTTGACTATACCTCACTTATGATGATATAATGGCAATGGCTTCACTAAATCAGGCACTCGACCATCTGGGGTGACTAAAGAAAGGTGAGAATGAAACAGGATAGTGACCCAGGACACTGCGGTCGACAGATGCAAAATGACCTGCCAAATGAAAAGCAAATCAAACATTTCGCTTTTAAATTAACGGGACAGTTCATCAAAAAATGTAAATTAAAGAACAAATTAAGCCTAACGCACTTCTAGATTTGGCTTGATTAAAATGAACTCTGGTGTGATTGCTCTGTTAGTGCTTTTCATTTAAATAAATGTGAATATTGCCATCCAAATCCTGGTGTGCTCCAAACAAGCGTACCGAGACCCATCTTGTCCAAACAAACTTTATTTGTGGTCCAAATTAACCCCACTGCACTTAATTCCACTGCAGTGTTCAAGACTATATAACAGAGTGTGCACCTGGCTCTTTATTCATTCCTTCATTTATTAATTTTCCTTCGGCTTAGTTCCTTATTTATTAGGGGTCGCCACAATGGAATGAACCGCCAACGATTTAAGCATATGTTTTACACAGAAGATGCCCTTCCAGCCACAACCCAGTACTGGGAAACACCCATACATTCTTACATTTACACTCAACACTATGGCCAATTTTGTTTACCCAATTCACCTATAGTGCAAGTCTTTGAACTGTGGGGGGAAACCGTAGCACCAATAGGAAACCCATACAAACATGGGGAGAACATGCAAAATCCACACAGAAATGCCAACAGGCTCTGCTGGGACTCGAACCAGTGACCTTCTTTCTGTGAGGCGACAGTGCTAACCATTGAACCACTGTGCCACCCTCCTGGCTCTTTACTTTTCAATAAATTGCCATTGTACTATTAGCTTAACCTATACAACATGTAGGCTCCTGGTAAAACAGCATGATTATACTTCAAATTAAAATACTTCTCACATAATTTTTGTGATCATTTATTTCCATGACGTTCATCCCATTCCATCTGTCACTTATTATTAATAGGAGAGTTAATTACTGGTCTAAGGTCAGAGGAAGGAACAGCTCACCGCTGAGCAAAATCATTATCAACACTGATTTGAAAAACACATTTTAATCTTTGGCTTAACATCCTGTTTACAGTGCATGTCCAAAATATTAAGCATGAAGTAGTCTAAATAACCGTAGACTCGCTCCTGAAAATCCATTTGTTG